TCATGTTTATCCCGTGTAACAAAACCTCAAAAAATGTGACATTTAAAGACCTTTTAGAAACCTTGTTTGAACTGGTTTTTCTAAAATAAGAATGGTGATTTTGCAGAACCTAGATCTCATTTCAAATGCGTTGTTACATAACTAATTCTCTTAACTCTTGGTATCCTTGAATCAGGCAGTCATCTGTGGCGTTAGCATTCATCTGTTCTGGCCCCTGCCTCTTGATTCACTACCTTGAGAAATACTTTTGAAAAATATGAAGTCAGTGTTGTTACCTGGAAATTTCAGTTTGATAAAAAGCACGAGGACCCTGGTTTAGGTAGTTGTCTCTCAGCACTGTGGCCACAACCCCATGTGAGCTCCCAACTCTATCTCTGGGCTTTTATTTTCTGGGGAGTGATCTTCCTACAGAAATATGTGAAGATCTCCTCCTTTCAGACTTCAGGCCTAAGTATGCGCTCATCTCAGTTCCCCAGTCTTTCCTACTCTCTCACCCTATTTAAAAACGACAACAATTCACTCCCCGCTCCCCCCCCCCCCCCAGCCCTGGCAGTCTATTTTCCTAGTGTGCTTGATGCTTTCTAACACAACACACTTTCTGCTTGATGCTTTCTAACACAACACACTTTCACATGTGTGTAAAGAATGCAAAGAAGCTCCACAGAGAAGGGACTTTACCTGTTTACTGCTCTGTTTCCAGCATCTAGGGTAGTGCTGGGTATGCAGTAAGCACTCAAAAAAGCCTAGGTGCAATGAATGGATGGAAAAGTTAATAAGGTAAAATAAATGTATGTATAAAATAGAATGTCCATCCACTCTCTAGCCCCACACACAATGCCCCCTTGATTTATTCACCCCAACGAGCTCCTGGGTGAAGCAGTTGACCCAACCCACAGAGCTATCATGAAGATTAAATGCGATCAAGCCCCCTGGAAGGGGCTAAATTATAGACTTTAGAGCTAATGAAATCATGAGTCCTAGACTACTTGGACAATTCCTAAGAAAGGTGTCATTAACATTTCTGCTTGGCAAATGACTTAGAAGGAGAGAGCTAAATGGGGCTTAAAATAGACAGTCAGGGCTCTTAGATTCACCCAAAGCTGTTACTGACTGAATGACCTAGTGAAGGTTAAGCTGGGTAGCTCATCACTATTTTGGTAAAAGTATCTCTTGCTTGGTCCTTAAAGACACTCACATTTGCAATCCAAGCAAATTCAGTTTGTTAACGGAAGGCAATCACTTTGGCTGTAGCCATAAATTGAGCTAACTCTAGTACCACTGTATGAATGAAGTTAAACCTAAAACTTTTTTGCTTTTATTTTTTCTTAAAGATCTATTTTTTAAAATTTAAATCAGAGTTACACAGAGAAAGAGAGTCAGAGAGAGAGAGGCCTTTCATCTGCTGGTTCACTCCCTAAGTACCCAGAACAGCTGCAGCAATCCAAAGCCAGGAGCTTCCTCTGGGTCTCCAATGCAGGTGCAGGGGCCCAAAGGACTTGGACCATCTTCTACTGCTTTCCCAGGCCATAACAGAGAGCTGGATTGGAAGCTGAACAGCCGGAACTTGAACTGGCACCCACATGGTATGCCAGCACAGCAGGCGGCGGCTTCACCAGCAAAGCCACAGCACCGGCCCCTCAACCTAAAACTTTTACAGGCTATTCCTTTTCTCCCTATTTTGAGGGAAAGAAAGGTAATTTTTGGCTCAATGCTTGTAAATTCTTCGTTGGAATGAATCCCTATAACAAAAGACAGATTAACAGAAAAGCAAACAAATTCACTGGCATGCACTTTCACATCCATGAGACCAGACGGTTTTGATGAATTCCAGCTAATGTGGCATCTTCAGTAAAGAGCAACTAGTTTTTAAAAAAGATTTATTTATTTGAAAGGCAGTTAGAGAGATAGAGAGGGAGAGACAGAGAGGTCTTCCATCTGTTGGTTCACTGCCCAAATGGCCAGGGTTGGGCCAGGCCTCAGCCAGGAGCTTCTGTGTCTCTCATGTGTGGGCAGGCAGTGCCCAAGCAGTTGGGCCATCCTCTGCTGCTTTCATGGCTGCTGGGATCCGGCAGAGAGCTGGCATTGCAGGTGGCAACTTGACCCACTATACCACAGCCAGTCCCAAGAAGAATCAACTCTTTGAGGAATGACAACACAAATGGAAAAGGACCTTAAGTCTCTAGGGCTGGCAACTTGGGTGCAGGTGTATGATTGACAGAAGGCTGTCAAGCTTGTTCTGTGGGTTCTTCTGGTGCCCCCAGCTACCTTTCACTCCGATAGTTAAAGCTGTCTTCAGGGTTCTGCCTTTCTTCTCCCTGGGAGGAGTGGCTCAGGCTACCTGCTGTCTTTGTAAATCTATATTCCAACTTTTAGGCAAAAGAGGAAGGGCAGAGTTTTCCTGAATCTGCTTGTTGGCTGCCTTCAGCTCAACAACTCTTTGTATTTCGGGGCTGATGTTCTGATTTTCCAGAGAAATGTGGCTGTTGTGTTACAGAAATCTGAGGTGGGAAGACTCCCTTTGTTCAAACAGGCACCAGACAGTGGAGGATCAAAGCAGTTTATTACGCCAGCTGACTCAGCGGGAATCATTTCCCGAGAACTGAGCGACAATCCCAAGTTTTTTACAATACTTATAGGTTCATCAGCATCACACCTTAGCTGTTACAGCATTGGTGGGTTTAAATCGCAGCCTACGTGACTTAGGACCACACTCTCAATGGTCAGTGGGCCTACTATGTTTGTAGAAGCGATACCGGGGCAGATCTTTTAGGACAGATTTATGACTGGAGTTTACAGAAGCAGAACATAGGACTTCTTCCCCCCTAGACAAGATCACAGAGGGCAGCTGCTTCACTAGTTAATTGCCAGCAGCCACCTTTCAAGGTCTGTGTTGGGAGGAGGGTCTGCTTCTCTTTCCTTGTCTCTGGTTGTGGCTGTATTTCCTCTACAGTTGTTTGAGATGAGATTTAAGGCCAGGGAGATGCTGAACATGGGTGTCACTCTCTCTCATCAAGCAGGTCTGGATTTCTTTCTAGTATTCAGTTGTGCTCAGGTTTAAAAATCACAGTCCAGGTTCCTTTCTTTTGCCCTTATTTGGACCCTCAAAATAGATGGTAACTCCTGGAGTCCAGCTCCAGCCAGTCCAGGGATACCAAGGTGTGAGAGGTGTCAGTGCATGAAGAAATGAGACACACAGCAAGGCTGATGGCAGGGCTCTGGCTCTCAAACACCAGACTTTATTTTTATATCATAAGTCACAATAAGTTACAAGAACAAGTCTGTTGTCCACTTTCATTTAGTGACACTTTGATTTTCAAGGGCATATTCAGAGCATGGGTTACCGTCACAGACAGGTGCGAGATAACAGGTTGCCCACCCAAGCCAAGGTCTGGAGTGCTGTAGAGCTATGCAGAAATTGGCTACACAATCTAGCATAGCACCTTCCTAATCTAATCTTTACTAGAAGCCTCAATGCTCAAAGCAGGCCCTTTTTAAAATGTTTCCCCTCTTTGCAGTTCTTTCTGCAACTCTAATTTCTTTATTGTACTTATCTAAAGGTTCACTTAGATCTATTCCACAGTTTTGACATCCTAACCATTGCTGTATTTGTAGCATATACTGAATTAAAGCTTTAATAACATTTATCTTTACTCTAGTGGGAAGTATATACCAGGGAGCCTGTTGCCTTTTAATTCTTTCCCACAAGTGTAAAGCATCAACCCCTTCTCCTACAGTAATATTTGGCTTGATTAAAATTCTACAAAGCAATGGACATTTTGGGGGTTAAGAGGCTAAGTGCTCGTCCCTAAAATTAGCAATACAGCTATCATTAGCGGGACCACCAGGAAGCTCCAGCTTTCTCATGCAGAGTGTGGTTCCCTGCAAACCTAAAACCACCAAGAGGACCGCAGGGGTCCTTCTCCCGCCTTGCTGAGACAGACCTGCTGTGACCTTGTCAGCCAGCTGAAGGTGCCTGGGCCTAGCCAGGTAATCAGGAACGCTGTAGTGTAGACTATAGACTGTGCCATTCCAGAATGCTCAGGATGGCTCGGCTGAAGGCAACTAAGAAGCAACAGATGCCTAAAAGCTACTCGCCTAAAAACTTAGGAAAACACATTATCCTGCCCCGCTCGCAGCAGCGACAGGGTAGGGGAGGTACTAGAGGAATCCACAGAGCAAGGGTGACTACCAGCCTTTAGCAGACAGGTCTAATTCTCCCTTCTCCAAGTCGCCATCCATACAGACGCGCACCTTTCTCCTTTGCCACTCCAACGGAGAACCCGAGGCTGCTGAAGCAACAGCTCCCCTACAACCCACAGCCCCTACGTGAGGGGTCCTCTTGTTCCTATTACCGCCACCCCGCTGCCTCAGCGCCCTGCCTCTTCTCCGGGATGACACCCAGTACCTGCCTCCTCTCTGCAGTACAGCGAAATGCAACCTTCGCAGACACCTTCACTGGTCACCTTAAGTAATCAGACTCCTGTGACCTTTCTCAATATCACATGCACTTACCTATATACATGACGGGAAAGGATCTGGCACACTAATTCCCAAGCAACACATCCAATAATTTAAGCTTACAATGTGCCAATGTTAACAGGAATTATGTCGCTAAGATATTAGCATAACTTAACATAATTGAGACAATTGAGACTGCGGGCTTTTGGGAGGATCGAGAATAACTACCAACCAAGTAGCTTTCCGCTGCCAGGTGACCGCACAGCACTGGAGAAATGGGAGAGGTTAGTTTGTATCAACGAACAGGCCTCGCAAACCGAACTCACTTATCTGTCAATTTCCTGCAAGAGGCCAAAGCTGGAGCGCTCGGAAAAAGGATCCTAGGAAGCAAACTAACCAAAGCTTACTAAACTTACCCACTGAACAACTTCCCCGACGATGGGACATCCAAATCCACCCTTTGCCACCGCAAAACGAAGGGCCCTGAAGGTAATTCGCATTTCAAAGTGCTTAGCTGGGTCACAGCTGCTTCCGAGAGGACGTGGTGGCTCTTAGAAGAGCCTTTGAGAAGGGGGTTGGAGCGGAGGCGAGCGGGACCATTAGGCCCGCTCCCCGCGGATGCGGCGCGCCAGCTGGATGTCTTTGGGCATGATGGTGACGCGCTTGGCGTGGATGGCGCAGAGGTTGGTGTCCTCGAAGAGGCCGACGAGGTAGGCCTCGCAGGCCTCCTGCAGCGCCATGACGGCCGAGCTCTGGAAGCGCAGGTCCGTCTTGAAGTCCTGCGCGATCTCGCGCACCAGGCGCTGGAACGGCAGCTTGCGGATGAGCAGCTCGGTGGACTTCTGGTAGCGCCGGATCTCGCGCAGCGCCACCGTGCCGGGCCGGTAGCGGTGCGGCTTCTTGACGCCGCCCGTGGCCGGCGCGCTCTTGCGGGCCGCCTTGGTGGCCAGCTGCTTGCGCGGCGCCTTGCCGCCCGTCGACTTGCGCGCTGTCTGCTTCGTGCGAGCCATTCCCGAGCTCCACCGGGTCAGTCACCAAAATGGCGTACCAAGCGACCCAATTTCCCCTTTATATACGCTGAGAAACGGTCGGATTGGGCTCTCTGGTTTAAAAACATCCCGCGCGATAAAGCCATTGGCTGACGCTCCAGTGACGTAACTGGCGCCCCTGTGCTCTCATTGGATAAATTCCTCCACCTTCCAATCCCCGGGCTTCTGTTAGTCTGAGCTGGGAGAACGCCATTTCCTCGGCTTTCACACTGCGGGGCCCTCAGGAAGGTGGGCTCCAAGTTGCTGATGGCCACAGTCATTGTCTAACGGCGGGCAGACGCCCAGGGCCGCCCTTCCAGAACAATCTGCCTGAGCCGTTTCCGTCTTTCACGGCGTCTGTCGGCTGTCTCCGAGCTCCCTTCAGCGACCGTGGCCCAACGGCTGCGTTCCTGGCTGGAACCGCTGGGGAACGGCGGGTGGTGCCGAACGGAAACGCCAGGCCGACTTCCCCACGGTCCTGTCGCGCTCACGCGGCCCTCAGCCGCCTCTGCGTCCACGAGCTTCCGTGAGGAGCTCCCTGAGCCTCCCAGTGCTTCCCTCCCGGTGCCCTGCCCGAAGCAGCGTCGAGTGCGGAGCGCATCCGTAACCCCGGCAATGTGCATGGACTGGAAACGCCCCTCCCCTCAAACTTGGGGTATAGTGTTCTGAGTACCTTGGGGATCACCACAATGTGACAAATTGGACAGAATTTGCGGTTTAAGGCCCAAAACTGCGAGTGCCCTGGGGACCGCAACCTGTCATTACCCCGGCAACTGCTTAGAGCCAAATTAGGGACCTATATCATGAGTCCAAGTCGATCTGCAAAGCATTAGAAAAGCACTTCCCTTCAGAACTTGGGATGTATTTCAGGCCCACAACTGTCTTGAGTGCCCTAGGGAACGCTGTGCCGCCACTAGTGCGGGCTAACTCCTGCCCGGAGACCGTTCGTTACAAGCTTTTTTGCGACCAGGTGGATGGCTCTGAAAAGAGCCTTTGGTTTAATGGAGTCTACGGACGCCGGCGGCTTCACTTTCCCTTGGCCTTGTGGTGGCTCTCGGTCTTCTTGGGCAGCAGCACGGCCTGGATGTTGGGCAGCACGCCGCCCTGCGCGATGGTGACGCGGCCCAGCAGCTTGTTGAGCTCCTCGTCGTTGCGGATGGCCAGCTGCAGGTGGCGCGGGATGATGCGCGTCTTCTTGTTGTCGCGCGCCGCGTTGCCCGCCAGCTCCAGGATCTCGGCCGTCAGGTACTCGAGCACGGCCGCCAGGTACACCGGGGCGCCGGCGCCCACGCGCTCCGCGTAGTTGCCCTTGCGCAGCAGGCGGTGCACGCGGCCCACGGGGAACTGGAGCCCGGCCCGGGAGGAGCGGGTCTTGGCCTTGGCGCGCGCCTTGCCGCCCTGCTTGCCGCGTCCAGACATGACGAACCACAAAAATGAACCTTAGGAAAATTGCTAAGGTGGAGGCGCAAGCAGCTAATTATACACTGCTGTAGTTTCCTAAAGAAGCCTATCCGAGTTGTCGGATACAAATTGCAGCCAATCAGAAAGTAGCAGTAAAGCCAAGCCCCCTTCTAATTTCCTTAAAACGTAATGAGTTCAAAGGCCATAGTCTCCGAGGCGGGAGATGCAGAAGGAACCAATGAGAGTTCAGGATCAAAGCTACCCTATCAGAGTTGAAGATACTAAATGAACCAATGAAAATCCGAATCGCTGTAAAACCTTATTTGCATTCTCACCAAACAAATAGTCACCGTGCCTGCGTTTTCCCACACTTGGTTTCTTCTCACTAGAAGATTCAGAGGGTTTGATCATGCCTGAGCCCGCGAAGTCTGCGCCGGCCCCGAAGAAGGGCTCCAAGAAGGCGGTGACCAAGGCGCAGAAGAAGGACGGCAAGAAGCGCAAGCGCAGCCGCAAGGAGAGCTACTCGGTCTACGTGTACAAGGTGCTCAAGCAGGTGCACCCCGACACCGGCATCTCGTCCAAGGCCATGGGCATCATGAACTCGTTCGTCAACGACATCTTCGAGCGCATCGCCGGCGAGGCCTCGCGCCTGGCGCACTACAACAAGCGCTCCACCATCACGTCGCGCGAGATCCAGACGGCCGTGCGCCTGCTGCTGCCTGGCGAGCTGGCCAAGCACGCCGTGTCCGAGGGCACCAAGGCCGTCACCAAGTACACCAGCTCCAAGTGAGCGCCCGAATTGGCGCCACTACCCCTCACCCCAAAGGCTCTTTTCAGAGCCACCCACAATATCTCCAAAAGATCTGTAACCTGGGGTTTTGTGTGTAGTAAATATTTAACGCTGACACTAAAATGTTCTCATAGTGCTGGCTTGTATTGTGTAAGGGTTATGAAGAAACACAATGGAGTTGGATGCTTGTTATGTCGTCCCCTAGGTAGGTCAACCTGCATTACTTTTTGAAGTACTGTTGTATTCCCGGAGTCCTAACTGGCTTTCGGTCATCTTAAAGCCCAGTTCAAATGTTTCTCTAGACTGTCTCGGAGTATGAAACGAAACGTTCCCCTAAGTAAGTAATTTCCACATATGTCGAAACACCCGCGTTCCAGATTGACCACCAGCAGACCGCGGGGGGGGGGGGGGGGGGGAGAAGACGTGAGGTCTGCATAGCTACTAACTTAACTTTCATGACTGCTGCGGTGAGGAGACGGGACCCGCCTGCGCCAGGCTCTCATTACAGTTCCAAGCGCTCCTGGGGTTCGAAAGCTGCCCCTCGGAATGCTGGCGCCTCCTGCCAGTCACTACATTTTCCTGAGGTTTCATTGGAAGGCAGGATGAAAACAAAAATCATCATACCCGTAATCTCGTGGCACAACAAGGTTACACCAGCAAATTTTTTAAAATAAAAATCTTAACTTTGTCACTAAAGGTCATTTGGCGCTAATTCCACTGTTCTGAACGACTTAGTAGATGGGGAGCCCTGGGCTCTGGCAGTGTAACCCAGAGGTGAGTCTCTCCCGAGTAGGTATCGCAAATGCTGACGTAGCTGCTTGCCATGAACATTTTGGGGATGGAGCTTGTGAAGAAATTCTAAATCTCACAATAATTAAGGCTTCATTTCTTGCTCTGAAAATTAAGGTTTAAATCATTTTAAAACGGTATGCAGAGGGTAAAAATTCCAAGTACGGTTAAAGAGGAAGATTCCTCAGGTCGGATGCTGTCCTGTTTGCATCTTGATTTGCGGAATTTATTGGATCCTTTGAGTATTTGAATCTAAATAGGAGTAACAATTACTACCGTTTATCGTTGCCGAATTAATGCTAGAAGATGATAAGGCACTGTATTAACGTGAACTCCCTAGGCAAAGATTTTTTAAAAAGAATTAATTTGGTCTGGAGTCACAGGCTAGCTTCAGGAGGAAATTACAGAAATCTCTTAGTTCACTCTTAGCTTAAACTTCTGACAGCCATTCTAAAGCAGCTGGTAATCCCACAGAGCACAGCTATCAAGAAACGCCTAAACACGCCACCCTGTTCAAGCCTATCACATTTGTGCCTCTTGAATACCTCGTTTGCATGTACGTAAGCACATTAAATTTCAATACCTTATTTGCATATACGGACCTGAAAGAGAACGTCCCTCAGAATTTTTTTTCTTAGTATTTCCCATTAACGTTACAGAATGCTTTGTTTTGTGCTATATCCTGCCCTACCCCAATGTGTAGGCTACTTTTTAGCCAAATAATAAAATTTAAAAAATTAAAATAATAAAATAAAGTATAAAAAAAGTTTTTGGCTTGCACGGTCTGTAAAAGTACAGGTAAAGTATCTAGGGTACAACAGGGCTGCTCAAGCCTCTCCTTGTTCCCACATCGATGTCAGGAGCCCTGGATCCTTAAAAAGGGCTGCCTCTTAGCATTTGATGCCAGTTAGAGTTTCTGGTCTGTCATTAACACTTATCTAACACTGGGAGCCCTTCCATGCATCCATGTCTTTCCTCCAATGTATTTGGGGGACACACCTGATTCCTGTGGCTGTTAGACCTCCCTGACTGCCAGTTGAAGCAATTTGTGCCCCTCTCCAGGAACTTTGCGACACCTTTAGGAGATCTGGGGCCTCATTCAAGGGGTTCCTCTGTAAAGAAACCTGGAAACAGTTGAGAATTCTCTCCTCGTGCCTCACTCACTCCTTTGCTAACCTCCATTTCTGTAGTAGGTTCCCCTTGGGTACTTCCAAGCCTGAGCTTTTAAATTAAAATGCAATTTGGCAGCTAAGTACGTTCCCTTAAGATTTTATATATTTGAGAGGCAGAGTTACAGAGAGAGGGAGAGGGAGATGGGGACAGAGAGAGATCTTCCATCCACTGGTTCACTCCCCAAGTGGCTGAAATGGCCAGAGCTGGGCGGATCAGAAGCCAGGAGCCATCCTATAACTGTAAAATAGGGAGTAGCTGCTTGATGGGGGTGGGGTGGGAGGCATGAGCACCCTGAATGCATTGCCCTGGGACCCCGGTCCCCACAGCGGAAACCACTGTACATTCCTGGACCTCAGAAGCTGAAGAGCAGCACCTCACCCCAACATAGAAGTCATATCTTCCAGTTCTGATTCTTGTAGTTGCTAGCTTTCCACTAGGGCTCTTGAAAAATTCATGGAAAATTAATGTGATGCAAAAAACTGGGTGGACTTCGAACTGTTACCTGCACCAAACTTTTAATTCCATCTTCCCACGAACATTTTGAATTGCCTTCATACTTGCGGCTTCTGTAAATACTTTCTGAAAAGTACCCCTAGTAGCTGCAACCTCCTTTGTCCCTGGGCAGTATCCCCTCAGTGTGGTCACTTGCTCTATGGGACTCTTGCAGGAGGGGCTGCCTGACCTCCCCCAACCCGAGCCCTTGAGGGGGCTCATTAGAGCTTCAGGAAACACCTGTGAGGTCAGCGCAGCAAGGCTTGCAAAATTTGCCCCGGGTTATCACATTAACCTCACATTCATTTTGCTTTGTTCCATTTCTCCACAATTTTCTTAAGCCAGCAATCAGTCAGGCTTAATC